TAGAGAGGAACTAAAGTAAATATGCCCCAGTCAGCTACCACAAACCTGGGCTACACTCCTCCAGATGGAGGCTGGGGCTGGGCTGTGGTGTTTGGATCCTTCATCTCCATCGGCTGCTCTTACGCCTTTCCCAAGTCCCTTACCATCTACTTCAAGGAAATCCAGGAGTATTTCTCCATCTCCTACAGTGAGATAGCTTGGGTCTCCTCCATCATGCTGGCTACCATGTATGCAGGAGGTTAGAAAGCATATTACTCAACTTTGCATGGTAATATATACATGTATGTCATTTTTGGAAAGCTGCGCCATTGCTTGGCATTCCAGGTGCTCCCACAATCAGGCAGAGCCGTTCAATATGTGCTAGAAGTAAGCAAATAACAGAAGGAGCCCAAATCAAAGATTACTTTGTCCCCATGGTTGCATAATGAGCCAGAGCTGTGATCCTGTTTAGTCTAATTTTGCATAGTCACATCCAAACCAAGTTTAGATTTACAAGTCAAGGTTTAAGTATTACTTTTAATATGAGCATTGCATCATCTTTCTGTGTCACCTTACAGGACCTGTGAGCAGTATTTTGGTGAACCGCTATGGGAGCCGCCCAGTGGTGATAGTTGGTGGGCTAATGGTTGGGGTTGCTATGGTAACGGCTTCTTTTGGCACCACAATTTTGCATTTGTATTTATGCGTGGGAGTCATTGGAGGTACACATTTCAACGTTTATAACATTTATATACATTTTCTTGCTTGTCCTATTGTTCTTCTGCTAATAAAAACCATGCTAGATTGTGATTGGTCAGTACAGTGCACTGGGGTTCCTCCCCTGCATGTGTGTGTGTGTGTGCGTGTGCGTGCGTGTGTGTGTGTGATCAAAGTTTACAACTGCAAGGTCAAATCTGTCTGTTTGATCTCCATGTTTAAATTAATATTCTGGGTTTTAGAAAAACACGCCATTCCTTGTTATTTTGAGGTGAAGTGACTGATCCGAGACGGAATAGAGATTTTGAATGAATCATTCTTTAGAATCAATTTGTTCATGTGTTCTTTTATGATGCATTTGTAAAACTGTGAGTTTCAGTGGCAGCACTCACTAATTCAATAATCACTTGAAGAAAGTCTCAAATTAATAAATCACTGAATCTGTCTTGTTCGACTCAAAATGAGCAAAAACTAGGGAGTAAAATGATTCTCAGCGCTCCAGTGTGCTGACTGCTAAATAGTATTAGATCAGACTCTAAACTATTTAACATCATATCTACACTACCGTTCAAAAGTTTCTTCACAAAGACTGCATTTATTGGATGAAATATACGGTAAAGACAGTAATACTTTTATTTTCAAATATATTCAGCTATTACTCCAGTCTTCAGTGTCACATGATCCTTCAGAAATCATTCTAATATGCTGATTTGATGATCAAGAAACATTTCTGATTATTATCATCAACAATGTTGAAGACAGGTGTGCCACATAATATTTTTGTGGAAATTGTATACATTTTTTAATGATTTAGAATTTTTAAAAGAACAGCTTTTATTTGAAAAGAAATCTTTTGAAACATTAATCGTCTTTTCTGTCACTTTTGATCAATGTAATGTGTCCTTGCTGAATAAAAGTATTCATTTCTTTCTTTCAAAAAAAAAGAAAAGAAAAATCTTCCCAGACTTTTGAATGGTGGTGTATGTCAGTGTGACTGGAACATTAGACCCTTCTCTCAAAGAGGAATTTTGAGCATTATGGAGTATGTCAAATCCTATTTACTTTTGATACCTACAATGCTGGGTTATTTTTTCTGCCCATCCGCTGAGTTTTGAGTGTTGAAGCGCGGGCTTTTTGCGTCCTCTTCAGGAGAGAGAGCTGTCTGCGCCGCCGAACTGGTGCACTTCTTCAGTGAAAGAAAGGTTTGTATACGGTTTATTTCATCTATAAAGTCTTTACTGTGCTGTAAAAGATTTATTTTACACAAGGCAACATACAGGGTCGAGATGTCAGTCAGGTGACTGCACCAGCAGCGGTTGTTTTGCATGAGAGAAACACCTTTTGCCTTGCATAACATAAACTGATTTCAATTTATAATACTGAATTTAATTTATTTTGATGTTAAAATATGTTCTCTAATCTCAGTACTGGTTGTTTATGGGCAGGATATGGAGTCAGTCACGGCATCTTTCAGCTGTAAGTGAAATGCGAGGCGGCGGTCTGAGGTTCGCAGTTTCCCCGCCGAACAGCAGCCCATCACCGGCTCAGATTTCAGCGACACACCTATTTCGGTTAAAAAGGATAACAGAGAACGGTTTAATACACTTGAATTAAAATGTTACTTTTAAATATTACATTTTTATTTCTAAAATGCTTGTTAACCGAGTTAAAATGTATGTAATATTGTGTAAACTATGCTGTATTCACCCAAATAAATTCAATTTGTCAATGTGTTCTTGCTTATAAATGAATGTTCACCTTTTGATTATTACTGTTGCCGCTAGTAATTCTGAGTGTGTGATTTCTAGTTTCCAACCCATTTTTAGCCAGCAATTATATAGTAATTTTTAAACAAATAATACAACCCAACATGTTGGGTCAAACATTTAACCCAACCAGTCAAAATAACCCAGCATGTGTTCTGTCCAATATTTAACCAGCGCTGGGTTGCCAAATAAGCCATGGTTATTTTTAACCCTCAAGTAGAGTACTTTTATTGGAGTGATGTGTCCTCAGGACATCTGTACTTCTCAAATACAGGATTTATGTACTTTGTCAAATGTTAACTCGTTGAAAATTCACATAAAATGCTTTTGTTTTACAGGCTTTGGCTTAGCTTTTAACCTGCAACCATCTCTTACGATAATCGGTAAATACTTCCTTGTGAAAAGGCCAATAGCAAATGGCCTGGCAATGGCGGGTAGCCCGGTCTTCCTGTCCACCCTGGCTCCCCTCAACCAGTTTCTCTTTGACCATTTTGGATGGCGAGGAAGCTTCCTCATCCTCGGAGGAGTGCTGCTCAACTGCTGCGTGGCAGGATCCCTTATGAGACCCATCAAGATAAAAACAAAACTGCCAGTGAGGAAAACCACTGATGAGAATGACACAGGAAAACTGGACGTCACCTCTCAGACAGCTGGACGAGACGAGTCCAAGCAGTCAGTCTGTGCCACGAAAGTCAACCAATTCATTGATGTCTCCCTCTTAAAGCACAGAGGTTTCCTTATCTATCTGGTGGGGAATGTGCTCATGTTTTTTGGATTTTTTGCTCCAGTGGTCTTCCTGGCACCATATGCCAAGCATCAGGGGATAGATGAGTACTCCGCAGCATTCCTGCTCTCCATATTTGCTCTAGTAGACATGTTTGCACGTCCAGGAACGGGTTTGGTCGCCAACACCAGATGGATCAGACCCAAGATCCAGTATTTCTTCAGCTTCGCTGTGACATATAATGGCCTGTGCCATATGATGTGTCCGCTCTTACCAGGTTACAGTGGCCTGGTGGTGTACGCAGTTTTCTTTGGCCTGGCTTTTGGGATGGTGTGTGCTCTCCTGTTCGAGGTACTCATGGATTTGGTGGGAGCCCAGCGGTTCTCCAGTGCGGTTGGGCTTGCTACCATTATAGAGTGTGGGCCTGTCCTGCTGGGGCCACCGATCTCTGGTAAGTCCAAATATGAGATCCTCACTGACTGACATATCTCTCTGCGTTACAATGTTCTGGATGTTTATTCACAGATATCTTCCTCAGGTTTGCTGGTCGACATCTTCATGGACTACAAATACATGTACTTTGCTTGTGGCATGATGATGCTGCTTGGAGGTATCTTCCTTTTCATCATGAACTATTACAACTACAGATGGTTGGAAAAGGAAGGGAAACAGAGAAAGGTGGTAGAGCTAGAGATCGGCTCAGCCAAAGAGCTTGCTGCTAATGAGGAGGACAAAGACAACGAGGAAGAGATCAAACTCAGCACAGAGGAAGCAGCAGACTCCACCAGCAAAGAGCCCTGAATCTGTCTTCTTTTGTTAGAATCTATCTATCTATCTTTTTTGTTGTTCTCTGTCTTACTGATGTTCTGAATATCATTCTATCTGTCGTTCTGTCCGCATGTCTATTTAAGTAATTCTGTCAACTTATCTATCATTTTATATATATATATATATATATATATGTGTGTGTGTGTGTGTGTGTGTTACTGTTTAGGGGTCTTTCTTTCTCTTGTTCTACCTGTCTGTTCTATCCATATGTCCATTTAGCTGTCATTCTATCTATCTGCCATTCTATGTCTTAATATCTGTTCTGTCCGTCAGCCTATCGATCTGTCAATTTATGTTGTTCTGTCTACTTATTTATTGTTCTGTCATTGTATTTATACGTCTGTATATCTATCTGTCGTTCTATCTTTCTGTTGTTCCGTCATTCTGTCTGTCTGATAGGTAGATGTCTGTCTACCTATCTATGTATATCTGTCGTTCTATCTATATGTCTGTCTGTCTGTCTATCTATCGAGAGAGAGAAAAAGAGTTGAAATGATTTGATAACTGTTCCTGTATATTATGTTAAAGTTTCCACTGTGATATAAGAGACATAAAGTAGTAACGGTAGGATTTCAGAAAATATCTGACTGCTGAATGCTGAGACTGACCAATCAGAATCAAGTATTCCAGAAATCTGCATTTTGTAATTTATTAAGATTTATTGCTTTAATTGTAGAGTTTTCGTTGTATATTATTACTTTAAAAATTATATAGGTTTAATTTCAATCTAAAAAAGGTTATGCAGATTGGCAAACAGATGATGAAAAACAGATGAGTGTACATTATTATAACAGACATTAAAATTCACAGTGACAAATGAATATAGTGAAGTGTCTTAAGAAAAAAAAAACATTTCAACACACTCATTGTAGGTTCATTCTTTACACTTTGATTAAAAAACAGTGATTTGTTTAGTATATCTAAACTCAGAAACACTACTTACATCTCAGAGCACCAATATTACTCAAGTCAGGAGAACTGATCTGTCATATGGTCATCATAGCTTTTAGTCGCTGATCTATGCATAGAAACACTACAGGCCTTATTTAAGAGTGGAATGTATGTACCAGACGATTAAACACATTCCAAAGCTTTAAATATATTTGCTATGCAAGCTTTGCTATATGTACAAATCTATGTTACAGACCCAGCCATCCTTGTTTAAAGCGATAGTTCACCCAAAAATGACTATTCTGTCTTCGTTTACTTGCCCTAATGTTACCTGTATGCATTTCTTTCTACTCTGGATCACAAACAAAGATATTTTGAAGAATGTTGTGCCCAAACAACATCGGACCCCATTGACTCTCAATACAGAGACATTTATCAAAGTATCTTTTTTGCGTTTTCCACAGAGGAAAGAAAGTCTTACAGATTTGGAACAGTCCCATTTAGAAAAAAAAGCACTTTGGAGCCATGGCCTTTTCATTCGACACACACACAAAACAGACATGAACAGAAACTTATTCAAGTAAAAAAAGCCAGAGAGGGTTACAGCTTTAGCCAGGGATGTTTGAGACACTGAGCTGCTGTTGCCCTCCGTTCTGGCAGGAAGTCCAACATATGTAACAGGAAATCAGAGAAAAGTGAGGCCTCTCTGAGGAGAAAGTGATATTTCTCTACCAACACTTCGTACAGCCCCCATGCACGGAGGACAGCTATTCGCCGCAGGTCACCTGTGCAACAACAAACGTAGTTAAAGCAATGAAACCACTGCAAGACTTCTTTTGGAGAATAACATAAATTTTACTTTGGTAATCATACACATCCTTCTTGCACTAAAATGATGAATTTGACCTGTCCACACCAAGATGAATAAGGAAAGACAAATCTAGTATTGTACTTACCTTTGCGGTTGAAATACTGATAGGAATATTTCCCAGACAGAGCCACTGACACTGGGATCTTACCCAGGAGCTCAATAATATGAGCCAGGTGGTCTAAAAATAATAGAAATGGTCAACCCCACAAATCTACACTTCTCTAATAAAAAATATTGATGATGGCTATTAAATAGTTTACCTTCCTCTAAGGAGAAATTATGCCCTGCTTTGGGTTCAAATAAGGAATCACCAGTAACAAGCTCAAATGCCTATTGAAAAATAATACAGATAAAAAGAAACAGTGTTGGGTAGTAACTGATTACATGTAATCTGGATTACATGATCAGATTTGAAAAAGATTACATAATTAGTAAATTATTCTTTTTTTTCTCTTTTAAATTTACCTTCCTAAAAATCCTACTGTCATGCTTTGACTATACTCACGAATGTTGTGTAAATAGATTTGCAAACCATGCTTCTGAATTCGTAAAAATAATCTAAAAAAGTAGCCAGATTATGTTACCTAAAAATGAGTAACCTAGATTGTTACAAACTACAGTTTTCATAAAGTAATCTGTAATTTGTATAATCTACTCAGCTCTGAAAAGAAATGATTAATAATACATATAAAATTATAAAAATACATTTATATTAATGATGAACTTAGATTTATATTAATATATTTATTTAATAAAATATATATTTTTATATATTTTATCATTCTAATGCATCAAAACTGAAGCAAATGTTTTAAACAATTAACTTTTTTTTTCACTAAATATGACTTAAAACTACAAACAACAAGATCAATGCCTGCTTACAATGAAGTAATCCAAGTAATCCAATCATGTGCTAAACAGTTGTACACTTTTGAAACCCCTGACGAAATTTTCTAGTAGGATGGCTCTATTTCGTCAAACACTGTCGACAGCTGTAGACTCACCAAGCAGGCCACACTCCAGATGTCAGCTGGAGGACCATATTCAGAGCCTAGAAGAACCTCCAGAGAGCGATACTGTCTGGTCTGGATCTCTTGACAAAAGTGTTTGTACTATAACAACAAGAAAAGAGGTTAAGTAATCTAATCAGGTATACACATCAAGTGATTTCATTGATCCATATGCTTCCACAAGAGCACGCTGTGCATTCTTTGACTTTGAGGAAAGCATTATATGAATTCAGTGAATGTGTCGCACCACCCAACATGAGCTGCCAAGGTCTGCAATTTTCACCGTGATATTATCCAAGTTTCCAGGCTTTGCAGCTGCTTCTGTGTGAAAGTAGTAGATGATTAATTAATGCTACATATATTACAGTGATACAATGTAATGATTTACTTCATTCACATTTAATAATTTTCCTACCGGGATCCTGGAGGATTGTGGTTTTAATGGCTGAAGTGTAAGTTTGTTTCGCGCCCCCTGGAAGACGAGATGAGGACTGCGATGTGAGACACAGCATGATGTTCTCAGGCTTGATGTCTGTGTGAATGATCTTGCAGTGGCTGTGAAGATACTCTAGACCTTCAAGAACCTGAGACAGATACAGTTTTTCAGGTCTTGTGCTGATTTATATGGTCTTTCTTTTTTTAGACACCAGGTCTAAATGAAACTTTACACACATTAGAAGTGTCTCACCTGAGTGATGACGTGTTTGACGCAGGTGAGAGAGAGACCTGGATTCCCAAAACACACTTGCCAACAGTGCAAGTCTGGTCCCAGCAGCTCCAACACCAGACAAATATCTACATAGTGGTCAAGAATCAACTAACAATATGTATTTCTGTATTATATAAAGACTAAAATTCTATAAAGGTATACCCCAAATTTCCCACAAAACAGATCTGAAATGTTGAGAATTTTATACAACAGTTAGTTTGTCTTTGAATTTGATTTACTGAGCAGCGTTCCAAAAGTGCCGAAATATGGGACTTTTAAACTGTAGCGTTCCACATGCGGTCACATTTATTGTTTATTGTTATTATAAACTGTTGAAATCCAGTAATTTCAATAGGAATCTGCTCGATTGGAAGTTTCATATGAGGGGGGAAAGCTCTCCATGCAAATTTCACTCAGGTTCAAGCTGCTTAGTTTCAAAGTGACGACTTTGTTAGCAGGGCTTAATACATCGCTAAGCTATTGACATACCTTTTTTGCCTACGAATTTTGGCTGAAATTCTGCAAATGAAGGTCCACCTAGAATACTTATTAGTGTGTTGGGGATTTTTTAGTGACTCTCTGGTACAACATTATGCCGTGTGTTTTGAGTTTGAGCTATGTCAAGTTAATTCTTTGTCGTCTAATTTTTTATCTTAAAATCAATTTTATACACCATCATTTTCGTTTCTATAACGTGTGAATATATCCCCTATCGTATTCTACAACAAAAACAATCAGAGCGCCTTGTTATCACTAGTTTTATTTTGATTTCCCGAGTCCGCTATTAGCAAATAGCCCGCTAGCATAGCCAGCGTGGTTGCCGCTAACCTCGCTTACATTACAAATACTCTATTCACACAAATTACCATTGTTTTACTCACTGTTACATGCTTTAATGGCGGATGTGTGCTAGTAAATGCTTTAATTACATCTCGCCTTGATTACTGCAACGCTCTTTTTCCGGATTACCAGTACGCTCCATCTCTCGATTGCAATATATTCAAAATTCTGCAGCGAGAATGCTAACTTACACTAAACGATCTGCACATATCACTCCTATTCTATTCAACTTCCACTGGCTACCTGTGCCCTCTCGTATCATTTATAAAATTCTTCTGCTTACCTTTAAGTCACTCCATGGTCTTGCACCTACCTATCTCTCTGACCTGCTTTCTCCATATATTCCCTCTCGTCCACTTCGATCATCTGGAGTTGAACTTCTTTGTGTTCCGAGATTTCGCCTTTTATCTATGGGAGGTAGATCTTTCTCTGCTATGGCTCCCAAACTTTGTTTGAACAAACTTTCTGACACTGCAGAGAAAACACATTAACAAGAAGCTGCTGATGGAACATCCGACTAAAATAAGCTGCACAAAGCCAAAAGAATCCAAGTGTTTATCTGTAGCATTTAGGGCAGTGAATATTATGCAGTATCTGGAATGGAATGTAAAGCACATTATACTCACACATGACATCATCATCTATAAAAATTGCAAAAACACGTACCGTGCAGTTTGGAGCATGAGTTGCTGTGGTTTCTGTGCATTGTCTTGCATGTGGTGCTAAAAATAACCACCAGTCAACTGGGGAAGAGAGAGAGAGAAATACATTAGCTGTCTGCGGTTAAAGGCAGAGTAAGTGATTTCTGGTAGCCAATGTTGATATTTGAAATCACCAAAACAAACACGCCTCTACCCCAAAAGGGTCTTGCCCCTATTTTGATAGCTCCGCCCCACATATACGTACGCAACCCAGGCAACACTCGTTTTTTTTGTGCTTTTGATTTTGATTATGATACTGTATTATTACTGTGGTATGCAACTGCAACCACATGTTCTGGACTTGGAAAATGTCTTGTCCATGTATATAGGAATGTATTTGCTTCTGTCATTGTGCAGTGTCCTTGAGCTTGGGAAAGGCGCTATATAAATTAAACGTATTATTATTATAAACAATATCTGCAAATTTACGAAGCTGAAAGTTCAATGCTTCAATGACTACAACGAGTTACTTCCTGGGTTCGTGACATCACAAACCAAGATAAACCCCGCCCTCGGGAAAAGGCAGCAAAGGGGGCGAGGCCATGCTGCGCTGCTTTAGAGAAGAGGAAGAGAAAACTAGAGGTGCACGTAAAAATCTATTCATATATGAATCGCGATTTTGTCTTATATACCTAATACCTGATACCTAATCGCGAGGTGGATAGTTACCTACAATTAATTGTAGGAAACAAACCTAGCAAATGTCTTCTATTGTTTTCCAATGATGAAGCAGCTCTTTATTGCATGTGCAGCTTGTGAATGACTCTGTACTGCAGGTAAAGATGATTTATATCCAAAACAGTATTTACAAAAAAAAAAAGAAAAAGAAAATATGGCCACACTTTTTTTGATGGGTTGCCTGTTACTGTTGAAAGGCTAGAAACACCCCTGAATCCAATCATAAAGGGGTGCTAATTTTACTATGAAAATCAGATGAATATCATTTGTCAAGTGTTTATTATTGTTGTAGTGCTTCATTTTGCATAAATGATATTATGAAAGGATACGAATGCCGTTCACACCAGCTATCTTAAACTCATCCAGTAACTGCACTATACGTCCTTTAAGAGGGTTACGGGCTGTGGGACCAGTGGCCTGGAGAGAGGGAAAAGCTTTTGAGATGTACAAACACACAATGGAAGAGA